TGTGACCAGGCCTCCTGGTGGATCAGAGCCTGATCAACCAGGCTGTTACTGCTGGCTGCACGCAATCCAACGTACGAGCCACAGCCCGGCTGGTCAGGTACCGACTTTAGGTGATTGTCCAGTGCCAGCTTGAAGACTGCCAGGGGTCTATTGGTAATCCCCCTTATGTATGCTGGGAGGCATTTGAACAGTCTCGGGCCCCTGACACTTATTGTATTGTTTCTTAACGTGCTAGTGACACCCCTGCTTTTCATTGGGGGATGTTGCATCGTCTGCCAGGTCTTTTGCTTTCGTTGTGAGTGATTTTCGTGTGCAAGTTCGGTACTAGTCCCTCTAGGATTTTCTAGGTGTATATAATCATGTGTCTCTCCTACCTGCGTTTCAGGGAATACAGGTTCAGGAACTTTAAGCGCTCCCAGTAATTGAGGTGTTTTATCTTCCATTATGCGCGTTGTGAAGGTTCTCTCTACATTTTCTAGGTCAGCAATTTCACCTGCCTTGAAAGGTGCTGTTAGTGTGTAGCAATATTCCAGCCTAGATAGAACAAGCGACCTGAAGAGTGTCGTCATGGTAAATATTTTTTTTTCTCAGTTGTTTGTTGGGCTGTCTTATTGAAACTTGGGCAGTGTGTGATGGAAAGATGCTTCTTAATGTACACCAAAAATGAAAAAAGAACTGGACAGTAAATTAGGGAGTTCACTTCTCAGCTATTATCCACCTCTTTGCGGTATATTTTCGTATGGTTTTTATGGTTGTATTCTTGTTTTTTTGGTCTCATTTGATAGAATGGAAGATACATTACAGAAATAGATATAATTTTGATTGGTTTCACAATGTAAAGGACCTTGAAGTTAATCTCAAAATTGCAGAAATGTTCGATTTTTGCCGATTCTCAATGAACTTTGTGTAAGTCAAGTTGGTTAATTTTATTAAGTGTATTCTAACCTAACCACTCTGTAATCTGGCAAACTCAGTAATCTGGCACACTACAGGTCCCAATGATGCCGAATTTGTAATGGAGGACCTGTATTATTTTTACTTTTATTCTATTTTTTCTAATATTTTTTTTGTAGTAACTATTGTGACCTGTGAGACCAATACAGTGGACCCCCGCATACCGTTGGCATCACATAACGTTAAATCCGCATACCGCTACATTTTATCGCCAAGATTTTGCCTCGCATACCGCTAAAAAACCCGCTCAACGCTGTTCGTCTGAGACGCGTCTAATGTGCGCCCTTAGCCAGCCTCACATGTTCCACCGGTGGCATTGTTTACCAGCCAGCCTCCGCGGTAACATCCAAGCATACAATCGGAACATTTCGTATTATTACAGTGTTTCTGGTGATTTTATCTGCAAAATAAGTGACCATGGGCCCCAAGAAAGCTTCTAGTGCCAACCCTACAGCAATAAGGGTGAGAATTACTATAGAGATGAAGAAAGAGATCATTGATAAGTATGAAAGTGGAGTGCGTGTCTCCGAGCTGGCCAGGTTGTATAGTAAACCCCAATCAACCATCGCTAATATTGTGGGCAACAAAAAGGCAATCAAGGAAGCTGTTCTTGCCAAAGGTTTAACTGTGTTTTCGAAACAGAGATCGCAAGTGATGGAAGATGTTGAGAGACTCTTATTGGTGTGGATAAATGAGAAACAGATAGCAGGAGATAGCATCTCTCAAGTGATCATAAGTGAAAAGGCTAGGAAGTTGCATCAGGATTTAATTAAAAAAATGCCTGCAACTAGTGATGATGTGAGTGAATTTAATGCCAGCAAAGGTTGGTTTGAGAGATTTAAGAGGCGTAGTGGCATACATAGTGTGATAAGGCATGGTGAGGCTGCCAGTTCGGACCACAAAGCAGCTGAAAAATATGTGCAGGAATTCAAGGAGTACATAGAAACTGAAGGACTGAAACCTGAACAAGTGTTTAATTGTGATGAAACAGGCCTGTTTTGGAAGAAAATGCCAAGCAGGACCTACATTACTGAGGAGGAAAAGGCACTCCCAGGACATAAGCCTATGAAAGACAGCTTACTCTGTTGATGTGTTCCAATGCTACTGGTGATTGCAAAGTGAAGCCTTTATTAGTGTATCACTCTGAAACTCCCAGACCGTTCAGGCAAAAGAATGTCCTCAAGGAAAATTTGTGTGTGCTGTGGAGGGCAAACAGTAAGGCATGGGTCACTAGGGACTTTTTCTATGACTGGTTACACCATGCATTTGCCCCCAATGTGAAAGATTACCTAACTGAAAAGAAATTAGAACTTAAGTGCCTCCTGGTGTTAGACAATGCCCCTGGTCATCCTACAGACGTGGCAGAGCGACTTTATGGGGACATGAAATTCATTAAGGTGAAGTTTTTGCCTCCTAATACCACTCCTCTCCTGCAGCCCATGGACCAGCAGGTTATTGCAAACTTCAAAAAACTGTACACAAAAGCTCTGTTTGAAAGGTGCTTTGTAGTGATCTCAGAAACTCAACTGACTCTAAGAGAGTTTTGGAGAGATCACTTTAATATCCTCAATTGTGTAAACCTTATAGGTAAGGCTTGGGAGGGAGTGACTAAGAGGACCTTGAACTCTGCTTGGAAGAAACTGTGGCCAGAATGTGTAGACCAAAGGGATTTTGAAGGGTTTCAGGATAACCCTGAGAACCCTATGTCAGTTGAGGAATCCATTATGGCATTGGGAAAGTCCTTGGGGTTGGAGGTTAGTGGGGATGATGTGGAAGAGTTGGTGGAGGAGGACAATGAAGAACTAACCACTGATGAGCTGATAGATCAACTTCAACAGCAAGAGGCCAGACCTGAGGAAACTGGTTCGAAGGAGGGGAGAGAGAAATTGAAGAAATTGCCTACTACAAAGATTAAGGAAATCTGTGCAAAGTGGCTTGAAGTGCAAACCTTCATGGATGAAAATCACCCTCACACAGCTATTGCAAGCCGTGCTGGTGACTATTACACTGACAATGTTGTGAAACACTTTAGGGAAGTCATAAAGGAACGAGAGGTACAGGCCACTATGGACAGATATGTTGTGCGAAAGAAGTCCAGTGACTCTGAAGCTGGTCCTAGTGGCATTAAAAGAAAAAGGGAAGTAACCCCAGAAAAGGACTTGATACCTCAAGTCTTAATGGAAGGGGATTCCCCTTCTAAACACTAACACACTCTCCTCCTCCCATCCCATCAATCATCACCAGATCTTCAATAAAAGTAAGTGTCATGTAATTGTGCATGCCTTTTTCAGTTTGTGTGTATTAAAATTAATATTTCATGTGGTAAAAATGTTTTTTTTTCATACTTTGGGGTGTCTTGCACGGATTAATTTGATTTCCATTATTTCTTATTGGGAAAATTTATTCGCATAACGATAATTTCGCATAACAATGAGCTCTCTTGCACGGATTAATATCGCTATGCGGGGGTCCACTGTATAATGCATAATGTATATATATCCACTCGTATGCAGCACAATAACCACACAAACATTGTTATCATTGTAATGTTTACATAACTTGTTTACACAAACCCACACTACTTTCCACACTCATACCATCTTCCCCACCACCCACACTGCCTTCACCAACACCCACACTGCCTTCCCCAACACCCACACTGCCTTCCCCAACACCCACACCATCTTCCCCAGCACCCATGCTGGAAATAAGTCACTTTGACTTTTTTGGGTTATCCTAGGCTCTCTACACATGCTGCTGTGTATGATAATCTATGTAGCTGTATTCATGTATACATGAATAAACTTACACACAGTCTTCCCAACTACCCATGCTGTCTTCCCTATCCACACCATCATTCCCACCATCCACACTGCCTTCCCCACCCACACCATCATCCTTACCATCCATGCTGCCTTCCCCACCCACACCATCATCCTTACCATCCATGCTGCCTTCCCCATCACTCATGCTGCCTTCCCAACACTCACACTGCCTTCCCCACACCCATGCTGCCTTCCCCACACTCACACTGCCATCCCCACACCCATGCTGCCTTACCCACACCCGCACTATCTTCTCCACACTCACACTGTCTTTCCCACCTCCCATTTTGGAAATAAGTCTGACTTTTTTTTTGTTATCCTAGGTTCTCTACAAATTCTGCTATGTATGATGATCTATGTAACTGTATTCGTGTATACCTGAATAAACTTACTCATTTACACAGCATCTTCCCCACTATCCAAGCTGCCTTCCTCACCACTCAAGCCTCCTTCCCCAACACCCACACTGTCTTCCCTTTTCACTATTTGTATCTGGTATCCTGGACATTGCTTTCGGTCACAAACTCCTCAAAATCATGAAATACATCTTCGCTGATACTTCCATCTGTGTTAGATCTAACACTTGAGAAGAGAAGAGTCCCAGATTCACTGGGGAGAGAGATAATTTCTACCACAAGGCATCGTAAACAAGGACTACTGAAATGGTGTTCCTACAATGCAATGCGGGTGCCCTGATTTTTTTTTTCATGCTGCGCACACTGACCACACACCCATTCTTTCACATATAGGCCTACCACCTTTCTCCCACTAGATTTGAAACCACTAGAATTTTGGCATAGTATTATGGGACCAACACTGGCTCTCAAGCCGTAATATTACTGGACCAACAAAGAAAGGGTTAACATCATCAAAAGTTTCCTCTGAAAGTATGGGTTAATAGTGAGTTGCTCCAGCCATGGTATCAAGACTTTTATTCTTCATTCCTGTATAATTTCCAGTTAGAAGATTCCTCAATCTTACCATATATAATGTTACCCTGGGCATATTATTGTGCATGCAGTATAAGATTCCTCAATCTTACCATATATAATGTTACTCTGGGCATATTATTGTGCATGCAGTATTGTTATCTACACTGACTTATTATGAATTTTGTACCAGACAAGTTAGTCAAATCTTCAGTTCTCAACAGAATTCACACTAAAGCCCTGAGATATTAATACAGTACTTATGTGCAGCTGTGTATTTTAACATTCTCAGGTACCTTTGGTGTACTGAAAAACTTGCTGGGCTTCCAAGGAAGGTTGCGACGTCCCCTCGCTGAAGAAGAAGGAGGAGACTCATCAGATGCTTCCACTCCCTGGCATCGCAGGCTAAAGTTCACTGGTTCCATTAACTTCTTCCTCTCAGTTTGGTTTATTTTAGGTTAGTTCATTTATATTTATTTTAACCCTTTCATTGTTGAGCCCTCTGATCCTTAACTCGCTCTCATTTCATATGAAATGACAGAGAATCTTTTCCCAACGGTAATGACCCCCAAAATATAAAATTTAATGGAAAACTTACGAAATTACACTTGTGAAGTTAGTGCTCACATCGATATTTACACATCGGTGATTTTGACCAATTTGAGCCCTATTTTCAGCCAATTCCATTGCTCCAGTCGACTAAAATCATAGCTATTTCACTAGAACTCCATTTGTTCTATCGACTGAGTACAAGAAACCGCCCATTAATCAATTTCAACTATCCAATAAAGTGGTCAGAAATTGGCAATTTGGCCAATTTCACACAAATTTCAAAAGATGCCAGTTTCAAAATAGGGTGCAGAATAAACAAGGCAGACATTCCTGGCACTAAAATTACATTTTGTCTGTTCATTAGTCACATCTCCAGGCCCCTCTTATATAACTCTTGCTTTCCATTTTGAAATTTTATTCTCACAAAAAATAGAAGATTTACTGTTATGCAGACTACTGCATTATTATAATTGTATAAATAATGTCAACTCATTTGTGACTTTGTATTAAACTAGCCAGTTGGACACGTACCGTATTGTACATTGATGTCATTTGCTTACTCTTGAACATCGGCAAAAATCGAGCATTTCTGCTATTTTGAGCTCAATTTGAAGGTACTTTTCATAATGAAACCAGTCAAAATCATCTCCATTTCTGCAATATATCATCCATTCTATCAAATCAGACCAAGAAAACGAGAATACATCCATAAATACCATAGGAAAATACACCAAAAATTCACTGTTTTAATCCAAAAACACAGTCTGAGTTGTTTTTTCTCATTACGCACTGTATGCTGCAGTATTTTTTTTATACTGTGCACACTGACCATGCAGACCCATCCTTTCATCTGTAGGCCTACCAGCTTGCTTCCACCAGATTTGAAGGCGCTAGAATTTTGGCTAGTAGTACAGGTCCAACACTGGCTCTCAAGTCATAGTACTATGGGACCAACACTGAGAGGGCTAAAATCATTGTAGGTTTTATATAGCTATTATTCTCATAATACACACCATACAGTCAAATCTCAGCATAGTGGAATCCCAGTTTTCGTCTTTAACCCTTTCAGGGTCGACAGGCCCACTAACAAACTTGTTCTCAGGGTTAAAAAAAAAAAAATCTTTTGAAATGATAGAGCATATTTTTGTGAGTATTATAGGCCAAAAAAAAAAATTTTGTGATCAATACTTACCGAGATATGGAAGCGTGAAGTTGACAGAAAGTGAGCCGCTTACAGCAACATCGCCGACTGCCAGTCACGCAATAATAGTTTTTTTTTATACGTTTTTCTTTTATTTTTTAACATTTTATTTTTTCAAGTAACTTTTATGGCCTGTGAGACCAATATAAGCCATATTTTGGATATATAAACTCATTGTATACTACACAATAACTGCACAAAAATTGACAGGTGAACATTTTCACCTATTTTAGTCACATACTATTGTCTAGAAATATATACAGTGGACCCCCAACATTCGATGGCATCGACATTTGATAAATTCGACATTCGATGCATTTTAACGCAAAAATTTTGCCTCAACATTCGATGGAGAACCCGACATTCGATACGATTCGTACGAGACATGTCCACGTGTGGCCTGAACTGCACCATGTGTGCCAGTGTTTAAAAGCCAGCCAGTGTGCGCGCATCTAAGGATACATTCGGTACATTCCATATTATCTATATTATCACTGTTTTTGGTGCTTGTTTCTGCAAAATAAGTAACCATGGGCCCCAAGAAAGCTTCTAGTGCCAACCCTTCGAGAAAAAAGGTGCTAATGACTATTGAAATGAAGAAAGAGATAATTGCAAAGTATGAAAGTGGAGTGCGTGTGTCGGAGTGCATGATGATTTGGTAAAGAAATTGCCTGCAACTAGTGGTGATGTGAGTGAATTTAAGGCCAGCAAAGGTTGGTTTGAAAGATTTAAGAATCGTAGTGGCATACACTGTGGTAAGGCATGGTGAGGCTGCCAGTTCAAGTCCTAATGGAAGGGGATTCCCCTTCTATACACTAACACCGTCCACACACTCCCCTCCTCCCAAATCAAAGTACCTACAAAAACCTCTCACATTGATAAACATCTACAGAGTTCCACAGTCAAACATTAGCCAATTTAGTCAAAATCTAGGAAGTATGATAACTGATGCACGCATGAACAAAGATCACTTACTACTCTCAGGTGACTTCAATATAAATCTCCTGCAAGACCAGGACCCACACGTTACTGAATTCACAAACACAATGAGTAACTGTATGTTACTACCAACAGTAACAAAACCTACAAGAGTTACAGAGACTAGTGTTTCTCTACTTGACCACATCTGGACCAACACCATATCCCCTTTAAAATCAGGCATAATTACAGATAATACCACAGACCACTACCCTACTTTCCTCATAACAACTCTTGGTAAACTACCCCAAGACACTACTAAAGTCACCTTCAGACTTCACAATGAGGCAGCCATTAATAACTTCACAACAGCAATAGCAAACATTGATTGGCACACTGAGCTAGAAACCTATACAGATATTGACGAATGTATTAATAATTTTTCTAAAAAAACCCAATACCTCTATAACAAGCACTGCCCTAAAAAAACTAAACAGATGACAGCAAAGAGACTGAACAGTCCCTGGCTAACACCCAGCATTCTCAAATCCATAAATACAAAACACCAATATGAAAAACAGTACAGAATGGGTCACATAACCAGAGACCAAACAAAACGTTACTCGTCAATCCTAACCAGCCTGATAAGAAGGGCAAAAAAATTGTATTATGAGAACAGATTATCCAACTTACGAGGTGATATAAAAAAGACCTGGAAAACCCTATCAGAAATTCTGGGAACAAAAAAGATATCACGAAATAGCGAAATAAAATTAGCAAAAACAGATGAACCCCAACTCCCACCAACAGAAACAGCAAACAGACTCAATGATTTCTTCTCCACTATAGGACAAAACCTTGCCAATAAAATCCCAAGCTCAGATACCCCACCAAATGACTACCTCACCGGCAACTACCCGAACACACTGTTCCTAGCTCCGACTAACCCATACGAAGTCTCCCTTATTATCAACGCACTAAAAAACAAGGCAGGAGATTTAAATACCTTACCACCCCTTATATACAAAAAAGTGTCACAAGTGCTATCACCAATCATTGCAACACTCTTTAACAAATCCATTGAATCCTCCACCTTCCCTACAGTACTCAAAATAGCAAGGGTCACCCCGATCCACAAAGGAGGAGACCAAACAGAGTTGAATAACTATAGGCCAATATCCAACTTACACCCTCTCTCAAAAATCTTCGAAAAATTAATTCATAAACGAATCTACTCCTACCTTATCTCCCAAAACATACTCAACCCCTGCCAATTTGGATTCAGGCCTAATAAAAATACTAATGATGCTATTATACACATGCTAGAACATATATACACTGCAATAGAGAAAAAAGAAGTCCCACTGGGGATCTTCATTGACTTACGTAAAGCTTTTGATACAGTTGACCATGACTTGCTCCACGTAAAATTGTCACACTATGGTATAAGAGGGCACTCCCTCAACTACCTCAAGTCATACCTCAGCAACAGAAGCCAATATGTGTACGCAAATGGGGCAAACTCTTCTGCACAACCAATTACAGTTGGTGTCCCACAGGGAAGTGTCCTTGGCCCTCTTCTCTTTCTCCTATACATAAATGACCTTCCAAATGCTTCGCAATTACTCAAACCCACACTATTTGCAGATGACACTACATACGTCTTCTCTCACCCGAGCCCAGTCACGCTAGCCAATACTGTAAATACCGAATTACAGAAAATATCTACCTGGATGAGGACTAACAAACTTACACTAAACATTGACAAAACCTACTTCATTCAGTTTGGTAACAGAGCTACAGATGTCCCTCTTAACATAATGATAAATGGATCACCTATCACAAAACTAACAGAGGGAAAATTCTTAGGAATCCACCTTGATAATAGACTCAAATTTCATACACATATACATCAAATTTCTAAGAAAATTTCCAAGACTGTAGGCATACTATCGAAGATACGGTACTATGTTCCACAGTCAGCCCTCCTGGCCCTATAATCACTCTCTTATTTACCCCTATCTCACCTATGGAATTTGTGCATGGGGCTCAACAACAATTAACCATCTCAGACCACTAATTACCCAACAAAAGGCTGCAGTTAGAATGATAACAAATTCTCACTACAGGCAGCACACTCCACCAATATTCAATACACTAAACCTACTCACCATACAAAACATCCATACTTATTACTGCACCTATTACATACATAGAACACTTAACTCTGATATTAACCCTCCCCTCAAACATCTCCTTGCCAACCTCAACAGAAACACATGACCATAAAACAAGGCACAGATCACTCTTTGATGTTCCTCGTGTCCATCTCACACTATGCAAAAACTCAATGCACATAAAAGGCCCTAAAATCTGGAATTCATTACCTGTAAATATAAAAGAAACACAACCTGTTTATAAATTCAAGTCTCTTCTCAAAGATTACTTACTCACCCAAAACCAAATAAATACTGAATAACTGAACATTATAAATTGTATATCTTAAATGTTTCTCACAATTATATCACATAAATGTTAAACCTAAAACCCAATCTAACTTTATTATTTTTTAAATACACTACCTAACAGAATCACTACCTAACTGAATGCAACCATATGACCTGTCTTTGTAATACTCACTTGTGCTTTATAGTTATCTGTTTACATTAATGTTTTATCACTGATTTCATCATTGCTTAGTAGCAGCGCTGTATAGTCCTTGTGGCTTAGCGCTTCTTTTTGATTATAATAATAATAATAATAATCATTGCTTAGTTAATCTTAAG